ACTGCTCTTTAACCAATTGAGCTATCCAGGGCCCACCGACCAGTTCCCTTCCACGAATGCTTATCAAGTTTGGCATGGAGGCGTTCGTCCCACATATATATATTAGGTCGAGTCATAAGTAACTTCCGTTTCTTTATCAGATATTTATTTTGCTTTTATTAAATAAATGAATTGCATTAATTTATTACGTATTCACGAATGTTACCTATTACCTTCTTCCATCTTCTTGGCAGTTTATAAATTCCTTCCTTGTAAAATGTGGCTGGTTGGGTCTAGAAGAAGTTTTCGACAGCCTGCGTGATTTGCTTTTCAGAAGTGAAAGTTTTTCTATTCAAAAAATTTTGTAGGGAACAGAAAAGATGGTAGTCTGTCGATGCAAGATCCGAGGAGTAAGAAAGATGTGGTAAAACAGACCATTCAAGCTTAAGAATTTTTTCTTGAGTCACCTTTGCTGCATGTGGTCGCGCATTGTCGTGCAGAAGGATTACATTTTTGCAATTTAAGAGTGCAGGACATTTTTCACGGAGTTTTTCTTGAACTCTTTGCAGCTGCTGAACATATCTATCTACAGTAATCGTTAAATTTGACTTCAACAACTCGTGGTAAATTATTCCTCGAGAATCCCACCATACAGACAATAAGATTTTTTTTCCATGGATGTTTGCTTTCGGATCTGGTATTGGTGGTTTATCCTTATCAAGCCACTGTCTTTTGCGTAGGTGACCCATTTTTCATCGCCTGTTACAATCCTGTTTAAGAAGGGCTCCATTTTTACCCGTGAGAGTAGACTTGTGGCGATTGACATGAGATCTTCTTTATTCTGTTCACTGAGATTGTAAGGTACCCATACTCCTAATTTGCTGATTTTCCCTAATTTCCCCAGGTGGCGGATAACGGTTGATTGCGATGTATTCAACCTTTCTGCTATACATCTTGTCGATTGACGTGGATTTTGCTCCAATACTGCCTTTAAAAGGTTGTCGTCGAAGTCGGAAGGACGTCTCGCCCTCGGTTCGTCTTTTAAAGTCATATCTCCAGAACGGAATTTTACGAACCAATTTCTAACTGCCCGATCAGTTATTAATCCTTCAACATACACTCTGCATATTTTTTCTGCTGTTACCTTAGCACTATTACCTTGTTTAAATTCCCAAAGCATCACATGACGAATATGTACTTTCTGGCTCTCCATTTCAGAAGATAAAGAAGCAGTATATTTTAACGTGTTTCATACAAAGTTGTTGACAAAAGACTAACGGAAACCTCGTGTAACTAATGAAAACAAAAACTCGTTGTCATGGTAACTCATAGCGGGTAAATTCGAATAATAGATTTTACATAGCTGCGTCGGAAGTTACTTATGACTCGACCTAATATTATAATGTATTTTATATTAAAAGCTGGATATGTCTTGCAATATAATTAAATAATTTAATCTTGTGAACAGTATTTTTTTCGCGACATACAGGCGGCCCTCGACTTTCAATTCGATTTCTACTTTCGCACAATTCGCTATTTCGCACATTTTTAAAGATTCAACTGTTTAATCCTCTGCGATCAGATGTCCCCTCTCAGGGGACATCAGACTAGCAATCAGATGACATTGTTCGGATAAAGAGAACAAAACAGTTGCAGTCTTGCATTAGGGCGTTCGTCAAGGTGTTGTGTGTTTTGCTAATTTACATAAATACTTTAAAACACAGTTTTTGGTGCATATTTTTTTATATCACACTACTTTCAAACATTCAACATTCGCACACACTTTCAGGAATCAATTATGTGCGTAAGTCGAAGGTCTACTCTAATTGTCATAGTATGTATACTGCGTTATTGTAAGTTCGAAGAAAAAAATTAATGTTTTTTCGTTTTTAGGTCCTTCAAACGAAGGTTATCTAATTTCAAAATGTAGTTTCTGTATTGATTTAATCCATTCGAGACCGATTGCACACTGTATGCGCGATTGATTTTCGAGGGTATAAGACTTGGTTGCACGCCGTGTATACAATAATAATAATAATAATAAGCAATGATTAGGTATTTTGAGTAAAGTAGTCGTCGATATAAGACTTTTTTTTAATTAATAGTATCTGTAAAGTATAGAAAGACAAAATTTGGCATTGGTTTTGTTGTGTATTAAAAAAGAAACAAAACATTTTTTCTGGATTTTCAAAATCTACATTTTTAGAAAATATCAATGCAGGAACCCATATATCTCTAATTTCATTTTTCAAATTTATCACCAACAACTAAAGTATCGCCTCTTATTCATATCGCCTAAACGAAACTTATTATCCTATTATTTATTATTATCCTATTATTAAGCCAGCGCAGTGTACGTATCCATAATTTTTTTCTTTGCTTTTTATATTTTTTTCCTCATTATTTTTTTTTTCTTGAGGTTTGTTTACCCGGGCGCTCAATCTCTGGACCATTGTGCCCAGGCCCCTTGCGGGAAAAAACCTATGACCGCAGCGGTCCCGCGAGCAACCCCGACTCCCTTGCAAAGCGCAGCAGTCTGGCCTCCCCTGAGCCCACTAGGTCGAAGTTGTTGGCGGTGGTCTGAAGGACATCATTTCTGACGTCCGTGAGCCCAACGCATTGAGTTATGAGATGGAGAGGGGTATCCTTCCCTTCGTCGCACCTGACGCAGACCGAGTCTTGTGCAAGGCCCAGTCGCGTAAGGTGCTTTCCAAGGTGCCAGTGCCCGGTGACTAATCCTACAACCAGCCACAATTGGGCTCGGTCCAGGTTGATCAACTCGGTACCTACTTCTCCGAGGGCCCTGAAAACAGAGCCTTCGTGTGCCTCATGCCAGGGCCTTGCACCCAGAGATCCCTGAAGCGGTCTGTGGCCCACTTCTTAGACCTCCTCCACATAAGCCCCCCTAACATGCTGATGTGGCACTGGTTTACCGGATCGTGCCGTGAAGTTCCAAGTCTGGCAAGCTCGTGCGCCTTTTCGTTGCCCTAAACGCCACTGTGACCCGGCACCCATAGCAACCTTACTCTGTTGACACTGCCTAGCCGTGTCAACAAGTCAACACAGTCCTTCACCAGCCCTGACTTGACCACGGTGCTGTGTACAAGTCTGAGCGCAGTGTGGTTCCTCATTATTGAAAGCAAAATAATGATTTTTTATTATCTAACTATTTCTGAAATAAATTTTTATCAATTTTAATTATATATTTTTATTTTACCGCACATTGCATATATGGTGTTTAATCCGCTCCTCGCAATAAAAATTTTCTGAGAAGCAAGCTGCACACACGGTCTGCAATCATCTTATTTATGCGAATTCAATTACGAATTGGGCTATTTCCATAGTATACGCGAATGTGTCACGGTTATAATTCTTACAAATGATTTTTGCTCAAAGAAAATCAATTATTTTCAAAATTCTTTGATTGTTTTATTACAGTATTAATTAGGAAAAATTACGTCAAACGATACTAAATGTCCATGTTGCACGATCAGGGCCTTAATCGGTACTACGTTATTATTTTATCGCTAAAGTGCCGTCATATATACAGGGTATTAAAAAAAAAACCATTTAATATTTATATGGTATATAAAATATATTATTGTGAGTAAAAGAGCTTTAGTAAATATAGATCGGAAAGTCAATCGTTTTTGAGATATAAACATTTTTCTTTGTTATTATCATAATTGCCTTACTACTAAATTCCATTCTACACATGCTTGGCATCTTTTTTGTACAGAGTTACGAACTCTCTTGAAAATTCTACATTTTTCTTGAATTGTTTGACAAGTAAGGTGGATAATAAGCTAATATCTTCATGATACCTTGTAACTGTGTAATATCTACAATCGCCGATTTACAACTGACTAATTCTCAAATCTACTTTCGGTACTTGAATAAGAACATTTAGAACGCGGCTTATAAACACTATAGTCAACATCGGATGCGATGGAAGCAAGTAAGTCAATCGTGATATTAGCAAACAAAAATGTTTATATCCCAGAAATGGTTAACTTTTCGATCTTCGTTTACTATAGCTTTTCTATTCGGTACAGTATATCCTATATACCACATAAATATTGAATGATTTTTTTTGAACATCCTGCATATACCATAATAGCTATGACATTGATTGTTGTTGCGTTGTGAATTGTTGAATGATGCTTAGATGATGCGCCATTTGATGAATTCGTTGCTTGCAGATATTTATTATAGTTTGCTGCAACGATGTTTACGTTTTCTTTCTTGGTACTAGTTCTGCTGCATCGTTAGAAGCTGATGCGATTTCGAATATTTGTTCTTCGTGATGTTGAGTGAATCAAGTAATAATGATTGAATGAATGTGATCGAATGATGATGATGGTGTTGCTTCGTGGATTTTTAAATAAAGAAGATGATCATCATCCCTTCTCTAGGTTGATTGTTCAACAGCAGGGAAATCCCCCTTATAGCCCATCAGTGCAGAAGGTTAACGGAGGTTTTTTTAGTGGATGTGATAGTGAAGACTATGCTATGGGAGAAATTTATTTAGGATAAAGGAAATCGTTTCTCTTGCTAGGAATGTCTACTTAACAAGTAGACTAGACTTCTAGTACTTCTACTAGAAATGTTTACTTAACAAGTTAACATTTTGTGAAAGGTCTGTCAGCCGAATGTTTCGTCGCATCGACATCTCTCGAATAATCTCTGGGTTTGTTTACCAATTTAATGGCCTTCAGAAATGCGTTATGATCTTTCCTCTGCAACTTCGGGTAGAATTCTCACGGTTCGAAGGGTATCGAAAAATATGCTACTAGGTTCATTCCTTACGTTACGTTTTTACGTAACACTCCATGATCTGAAATTGAGTAAGTTTGGTTTGAATATTTTAATAAAAAAAGAAGTAGCTTTATATTAAATAGATATATGTTGTTATTTTTAAATGTTTTTTAATGGATTACTTATTAATGAATAGTATAATTAATATTATTTATAATTTTCTTTAATGTGTAAACTTACAATGAAATTATAGCTTGCTGGTTTTAATGATTAGATAACGTCAAAATCATTTAATGGGTTGATGTTTCATGAAATAGAAATTACAAAATTATAAAATTTGTATTTTGTTTCACTAACTTATTATTATTTGAAAACTGGAGTAGTATTCTGCGTAACTTGATCTAATAATTGTCAACGACTCACACATGCTTAAAGTATAGTATTAAAAGTATAACATTTAATTTTTGTTGAGAAAATTTTAATCGAACTAACAATAAATCACGAATACAATTTATATTCTAAAGAGAAAGATATAGAAGATGAAATACGAATTGTTACTACCATTGTACATATTCATGAATTCTTGTAGAAGGAGTTGAAAAGTTTTACAATGCTGATGTTGAGTGATCGTCAAATAGAAGGAAACAACATCTCACCGGAAGTCGATGACGAGGAGGACAACGATGAAAGGATGGCGGAAGCGGATTGCTTAAGTTGTTCTCTCTCGAATACATATTCACTTTTTCTATTTTAAAATTAAGAAAAAGGAGAGAGAGAAAAAAGGGAGAGAGAGAAAAAGAGAGAGAGAGAGAGAAGCAACCCTCAGGCTAACGACGTCTTCAGACACGGGACATTCTCCTTGAGTCCTTTAACAATCCTCAAGAAAATATCTAGCAACGCTGGTTTTAATTTCCTGTTGCTTCTATCAGAACAACGAAATAACACGTTTTAATCTTATTCGTTGCCGTCTTTGTATAAATCGAAAGATCTTATACTAACTGTTCTTCAATTCATGAAGATTAATTTATAAAATTCATTTCACACATTTCTATTTTTCAGTTAAAGAAATTTGCGAAGAACGATTTTAAACCATTCAAAAAGGATTCTTTGGCATACAATAAGGGTTCAGCTCGAAACGTTTTCCGAGTTCAATCGTTCATTTAAGACTTTGTTTGAAACTTTTAGTGTCCGTAAAAATCGATTGAAAGTGTATTATATTTACATATAAATGGGGAGATTGAAGATTCTAGATATATGTGTTCGGGTTCTTTTTTATCTATAAAGTAAAAAAAGGAAGAAGAAAATTGCGCATTGATTACGATTCGATAAATTTGAATTGATATTTACGTTTGATTATGTATATGTATTTGTAAACTTATGTTGAAGAGAAGACAATTCTTTAAAAGCTTTCTTGTGGAATATGCTAATGTTATGAGCTTGGTGCAGTAGATATGT